TTTAATTTTTAATTTTTATTTTTTTAATTTCAGCATATTATGGGGGTACAGGTGTTTAGGTTACATATATTGCCTTTGCCCTGACTGAGTCAGAGCTTCAAGCTTGTCCATCCTCCAGACGGTGTGCACTGCACCCATTACATGTGAATATATCCATCCCCTTCTCCCCCCTCCCATCTGCCTGACAGCCAATGAATGTTACTACAAAGCTTTAGTTAGACTAAGAAAAAAGAAAAGACTCAAATAAAATGAGAAACAAAAGAGGAGACATTACAACCAATACCACAGAAATACAAAGGACAGTAAGAGACTACTGTGAACAATTATATACCAACGAACTGGATAACCTAGAAGAAATGAATAAATTCCTAGAAACATACAACTTACCAAGCCTGAATCATGAAGAAATAGAAAATTTGAACAGTCCAAAAATGAGTAAGGAAATTGAATCAGTATAAAAAACTCTCCCTTCACAGAAAAGCCCAGGACATGATGGCTTCCCTGGTGAATTCTATCAAACATTTAAGGAAGAACTAATACCAATCCTTCTCAAACTGCTCCAAAAAACTGAAGAGTAGGGAACACTTCCAAACTCATTTTGTGAAGCCAGACATTTTATATTACCCTGATACCAAGGCCAGACAAGGATGCTACAAGAAAAGAAAAGTACAGGCCAATTTCTCTGATAAACATAATGCAGAATCTGCAATAAAATACTAGCAAACTGAATTCAACAGCACACTAAAAGGATCATAAACCATGATCATGTGGAATTTATCCCTGGGATGCAAGGATGGTTCAACATATGCAAATCAATAAATATGATACACCATATTAACACACAAAGGACAAAAACCATATGATCATCTCAGTAGATACAGAGAAAGCACTTGACAAAATTCAACATCCTTTCGTGATAAAAAAAAAAAAACTCAATAAATTAGGTATAGAATGAATGTACTTCAACACAATAAAGGCCACATATGACAAGCCCACAACTAACATCATATTCAATAAAAAGCTGAAAGCTTTTCTTCTAAGATCAGAAAAAAGACAAGGGTGCCCACTATCACCACTTCTATTTGATATAATACTGGAAGTCCTAATCAGAGCAATTAGACAAGAAAAAGAAATAATAATCATTCCAATTAAAAAGGCAAAAGTCTTTGGGAGGCTGATGCAGGAGGATTGCTTGAGGCCAGGAGTTTGAGACTAGCCTGAGCAAGAGCGAGATCCTGTATCTACAAAAAACAGAAAAATTTTCTGGACATCATGGAGCATGCCTATAGTACAAGCTACTCAGGAGACTGAGGCAGGAGGATCACTTGAGTCCAGGAGTTTGAGGTTACAGTGAGCTATGATGATGCCACTGCACTCTATCCTGGCAACAGAGCAAGATCTTGTCTCAAAAAAAA